ATTTAATTCTGTTTGTCAGTTTGTCAGTTTGTCCAAAACATGTTTTTTAAGTTTTGAAAATTTGATATGACGTTCATCACATCGATATAAAAAACTTTTGTTCTACCACTTTTGGAAAAACTAGCTAGTTTAGCGGGAAAACAGCTATAAATAGCTAAAATTCGGAAAGCCGTAACTTCTATACTACTAAAGCTACAGACTTAAGGTATTTTTAAATGCTATATACGCCTTCTATATGCAATTTGTGTAAATGTAATAGTTAAAAAGATATGAACAAAAGAAAATTTGTTTAAACTTTTTTTTAGCTTTTTTTAATTTTCTCAAAAACGGCTCTAACGATTTTCCTTACAACTTTAAACTGTATAGCCCTTGAGATTCCTTAAATTTTGGTATATATCATGTTTATGTAAAAAAGCGCGTTTAAAAGTTATTCAGAAACGAAAATAGCCACTTTTGCCAGCTCAGAACAACTAACGCTTCCTGAGTGTTTAATTTTGTGCGTGGGTATCCAAACTGTATTTTAGGCTCATAGAATCATTTCAATTGTTTTAAGGAGTTCCAAATAGGAAACTTTTGTTTTACGACTTTTGGAAAAACCCGCTGCTTTAGCGGAAAAAAACTAAAAATAGCTAAATTTCGTTAGTTTGTAAGTTCTACACTACTGAAGCTACAGACATGTGCTATACCTCGTTTAAAAGGTACTTTGAAATACTTCAACGGTTTTTAACTTAATTTGTTTAAATACAATGGTTTACAAATTATGATTGACCAATTTAAATTTAAATGTATATACCAGCTCCTATGAGAGCAAATATAAACAAACAAAAACTTCTGATATCAAATAAAAACACCTTTTAACGAGGTAAAAAACTAGTGACGATCGCACCTTCAACATACAAAAGTTCTGATATCAACATTTGTGACGAAAAATTATTACACTCGTCATTAAATACACTTTCTAAGATTTTCTCATTCGGCACGCAGCAATAGAAAATGCCTATGAAGGTAAAAAGGCTAAAATAGTATGCTAGGGCGGGCCGAATGAGAAAATATTAGAAAGTGTATTTAATGACGAGTGTAATAATTTTTCGTCACAAATGTTGATATCAGAACTTTTGTATGTTGAAGGTGCGATCGTCACTAGTTTTTTACCTCGTTAAGAGGTGTTTTTATTTGATTTGTTAGAGTTGATCTTGCCGTGTCCGTCTTTCCGTCTTTCCGTCCGGCTGTCCGTCCATCTGTCCTGTCCGTTTCTATGGAAAATAGACTCATTTGATTAAAATAATATCACTTGAAAAATAATCATTACGTTGTGATCGATTTTTTTTTTATCTTAAATTATAATTTTTTGAGGAAATAAGTAAAATTTACAAAACCATCAATAAATTGTGATTTGTATTTTTACTGAAATTTATAATTATATTTTTAAAGATAAAATAATCGTAAATAATACTGATACTGATAAAACTGATACAAAGCGGGAGAAACCCCACCTCGAATTGTTCGTAAGACGGTGGATGAGCTGTCAGATCCGGCACTTCATATGCAAAGTATGATCCACTTAATGCGATTTATAACGCCACTCCTTGCTTTCGCCTGGAATGGAATAGGGGGCGAGTTAATATATATTGGGCAAAGAGTGCTGAGTAAACTGGGTGAGAGTGGGTCTGCAACAGCTGTATTCTGGGTACGTCTCCATACACGCCGGGCTCGTTTGTTCCGCCTGTCATGCCCATCATCTCTGGGATTCTATCCCACCATCCGCCCGTTCTGCCATCCTGTCACCCGTCAACGCTGTCGCCTTCGTCCTTTGCCTTCGATGATGCTGCGCTTTCAGACGGGGCGATTATGCCGAGTATGCCATTGTTGCCTCAGCCTTAGGAAATCCATTTGAAATCCCCAGTTTAGTGTGAATTTATACGAAGAAAACTCACTTTTCTTTCCGTCCCTCGGTTTTGCTATCTGATTCGGCTGCCCTTTATACTTGTGTTTACCTCATAAACTCGATATATTTCGTTGTTTCAATTTAACGCCAAAAGAAAAGAGCTCCTTAAAAAAGGAAATCACCATCTTCGAAAACTCCCTATTCTTCCCTCTTTCCCACCGCTCTTATTATGTAACATAATTGTGCGCAATGCTTCCATTTTAACGCGGATTTTTGTTTTTCGGACCTCGAACGGGGAGCAAAAGCAAACTCGGGCACCCGCGTCGTATTCGGTATGTCGTTGGCCATTGTTCTTCGTCCCGTTTTCCCTTTTCCCGGGAGAATTTCCACAGCCGTGTGTACTTCGTGCAGAGGATGAAGGATGGCTGCGTTATGCAAGCATATATTTAAACACGAGTGCCGGCAAATGCAAGCAGATGTCTGTGCGAAGTATCAGTTCGCAGAATGGATTAAAATGTTGCACAATAGTTTAACAAAACGGTTATGCAAGTATGTAACTGTGTATAACTGTGTATTGAGTAGCCTTATTTAAAAATGCAGTAACTGAACGGTAAATATAAAATTATAATAAAATTCAAGCTTTAAAAAAGAGAATGTGCTGACAAAACAATAATTATTTATTTTTCATCTTAGTTCCATTCAATAAAAAATTAAATAAATTAAATTTGAATTTAAATAGATAAGTAAAGGTCATGAAAATTATTAACAGAAACAGCAGTGTAATTAAGTATGCCTATCGACAGAATATTTCTAAAAATCAGCGGACAATCTGTAAGAAAAACTATGTGCTGCCGTAAGAAAATTGTCTGTTGAAAGTTGTCCGCCTGCAACTTAGTAACTCATTAGCAGCTACTTAAAATCTACTCGAGCAACAGCTGTCAGGTGCTCGTACTCGTTTTCGTACTCACACTCGCATATTCAACCCTTGCCACATTTTCAACTCAAGCAAATTGGCTGCCAGGCCGTATTCAAAATGTCGCATGACGGTGGCAAATGTCAACAGAACTCCACATCCAGGTAAACTGACAGCCGGGTCTCCGGAGTCCGGGGTCCGACCAGTCGGGTCCCCGATCCTCCGGCGGCTAATTAAAAAATGGAATGCTGCCAGTGCGCACACACAGGAAAAAGTGTTGAGGTCTCGCTGCTGGGAATTGCGAGCTTTTCTTTTTAAAGCTGATGAATAATATGGCATTTGGTTTAGTCGAGAAGCACACTTCATTTAGTCCAGGCCCACTTCATTTTTTTGTTGCTCAGCTGCTCTGCACCTGTCAATGAGCTCATTAAATTGCAATTTGAGGAGATAGCTCGAAGTAAATGGAGCTTGTGCTTCGCTGATTACCAGCAAGTACTCCATTCCCAAGTTTCACACTCCCTGATTTTTCTCTTGCTTTCTTGGCAAAGTTGAACTGCATTTATAATTAAATATGTCTGCAGTCTTACTTGCTTTTTGTACTATTTTTTCTTAGCAGCTAAGGGAATTATTTTACTGAAACTGCAAAATGATTATGCTGATAGGAGCGTGGCCAGTAAAGAGATAAAAAGTTTGAAAAGTTTCCACATTTGTAATTCCATTAGGGATAGGTTTGAAAAGGTGTCTAATAAACTTTTTAAGAGTAATGGGAATTTAAAAAGGTAATTCTGAATGAGTGCTTTAGAAAATACACTTTGCCTTTCTTGTAGTTTTTTAAATTACTTATCAATAGATTTATTTTCAGTTACATCATAGTTGCTAATTTAATTGGGCAATTACCTAATGTTGTGATTTCGCAGTTGAAATAAATAAATTCTTTTAGATTTAAGAATATTATTAAATGTGTAGTTATATTACAATGACCACTTGTAAATCGCTATAAAGCGCTTCGAATTTATTTAAAGTTCTGTCCAGCCCACGAAGCCCTTTTCATCTGCGAATGCGCTGCCATTTCTGATATATATAATTCCCTGACAGACCAATAAAATTGTCACATTTCGCAACATGTCTCTGACAGTTGTTTGTGGCCAGCAGCTTCGTCTCCTTCTTCGTTTGAGCCCGGCTCAACCGTTTGTTGGTCCAGTTTATTGTTGGCTTGGCCGAGCGCGGACCGCCCGGCTGATGTTGTTTTTGGGGTGCATGTGCATGTGCATGCTTCATTGAAATATGTTTTTCGTTTACAGCTGCTGCAGAACAAGCCGAGGCCGACTGCAAAAATATTTTAGCAGCAGGGGCAAAGGCATCATCCTGCGGTCCAACCACGATACCGCAGCAGGCGGCCGACCCGAAACCAAACATACGAACATAAAAAAAATGGGAAACACCAGAGGCAAAACCTTCATTAATCTTATTCAATGTCCGGCACATACTTTAACCCATCCCAGCAAACATATATGTTTGTGTTTGGCCGCAGAGGGGTCGCAGTATAAACAATTTGCACATTTTAAGTTGATTTCTTCGGCATCCTTTGGCTCACATCCTGGGATCCTCGCAGCAGTCACGCGTTGCATACGTGTGTATTAAGTATACGCCGTGTGCTGTCTTGCGAATTGGCTTTACGGCTTCTGGGGGGCACGGAGCAGCAGCTTTATGTGCATTACGTGCACACAAACAAATATAAAAACGCAATCCTAGCGATTTCGAGTACCTGCAGCACATCATTGGAAATTGTAATTTTAAATTATCGTGGTTAGTTCTACCGCCCCCTTTGGAGTAGTGGGCAAAAGCAAACAATTGGAGATTTTGTGAAAATCAATTAGCCATGACTTATGCATAGATAAATAGAAATTGAAAGGCTTCAGGAGTCAACACTGCAGGAAGCACATGAATTAGCATAGGTGAGGCCTCAATTTACATGCATAGTATTTTGCCAATATTGGCATGCATACATTGCGCATTCGACGTGTGGACCAGTTGATTTGGCCCCGCAGGATGACGGCCCGATTCCGGGCTTTCAATAAACAGAATTTTGATTAAATATCCAATGGTCTGACACTGGCGTTGTCTAAATCGAAAACACCAAATCTCGTCGTGCAAAGGATGTGAAAGCCTAATAAGGTTTATTATTTAATTGAAATAATTTAATTCTCCTTTTTCGTTTTCAATTTTTTCTTTTAAATATAAAGTATTATAAATTATGTTCATAACTATTAACATTTAGACTGGCTTAATCCAGGGAATATTTTCCTAGACTGATCACTTCCATTTCGACGCTAGAGATGCTTGGCGACAGTGTCGTAGAGCTCTTGTTGCAGGAAATGCCATCGAAATTATAGGGCTGTACTGTTCGGGATGCTGGACGATTGGAAACACCGTCGGCTATTTGATTGACGATCCATTTGGCTAGTTTGATTATTGCCACATGGGCCACAAATTGCAGGATCATGGCTCCAAAACCCTTGTAGAGTCCAGCAAAACCCTCTGAGCTAATTGTTTCTCGATAGCAATCGAAGACTCCGCGATAGTTTGTCAGAATCGGGACAACAGAATAGCCATTATCGAGATTATCGATTATTGTTCGGGTGCCCTGCAGTTGTAGACGATGCAGAATGGTTTCATATGGGAAGAAAACGGCCTCGGTGGTTAGCATTGCGATTAGTCCGGCATATACTTCCGCATTCTGGCTATCCAGCTTGCTGTCACATATCATTCTTCCGCGATTTTCATGTGGAAACGCTATTCTCCTCCGCATCATGCGAGTGGAAACGCCGTGTATTAACAAGTGAAAAAGATACTTTGTGATGCCAATCGAAACACTGGGCCCGATTATTGCCCAAGCGGGTAGCATTCGCCCTTTTTGCGGGGCACTCCAGTAGAAGAGACGCAGAGCTCCCTCCCTCAGGACATCCAAGAGCCCTGTTTTTTCGCTGGCAATGTCGCTTTGCACGGTCTTCACTAGGGAAACTGCGTGAAATGGCACAACCATCCCGATGCTTATGCATTTGAGGAGAACATGCTGTCCGAATCGCTTCAGGGTCGTTCGACTATCCACTTCCTTGGGCCAACTGGTGAGTTTCGATACGGAATCGTCGATGGCGCAGGACATTCCGCGCACAAGGAGGCAACTGCCCATTCCCTTCCACAGTGTCGTTAGTCCTTGACGTCTGTGCAAGTGGACAATGCTGGGCAAAAGAGTAAAAGGATGTAGGTGGTAACATTTGGACGCATTATAGACCTGACACTGCCAACGCAATACTATAAAGGGATGGCTCAACACGTTTTCGGTGAGTAGGGAAACCCAGTGAACACCGACGGCCAGATACTTGCGAAGTGATGTATCCTGCTCCTGGTTATCTAAATACTTGTCCAGCATGCCGTCCTCCAAACTAAGATATTGGATTTTGGCAATGGCGTCTTGATCAGCATTTATGTTCTCCACAATCGACTTCTCCCGGCAATCAATGCTGTTCTCCAAGGTTTTCTTAGGGTTGCTAGTTCGATGTTCTTTTTCCAGGCCTTCACTACATGTTCCACTATTCGTGTCGAGTTTTGGATGGTGAGCCTCCATTCTACTAAGAAGATTGTATTTGTGTATGATATATCTATTCTGTATGACTGAGAATCGTGTTTAGCATATCTTATTATTCGGAAGTAGGTACATGTAAATGAATAAAATTTGAAAGTGAATAGTGACAGAAATTCCTTTAACTTATATTTACTTTGAGTAGAGAAAATATTATTAATATTACCTAAATTTAAAAGTGATGTCCAAATAAAAACTAGAAAATAACACATTAAAGAGCAAAATTTTGTGACCATAACAGACAATTCCCGTCCACTTGATTATACTTGTCTCATCATCATTTTTCATCTATTTGCGAGGCATTCGCGTGGAATTCAAAATGTTTCCCCTCTTTAAGCGTGTGTATTGCTTTCAAATCATCCTCAATCTTGCGGCTTGCGGTTGGCTTTTAGTCTGCGGAAATCAAAGGACATATTGTGCGCCGCCTGGCATCAAGTGCATCATGTGGCAAGCGGAGCCGGCAACAATGTCATTGTCTTCGCCAGGAATCGGGGGGAATGGGGGCCAGAAATTTTCATGCACATTATGCGGGCGGAGAAAAGGAGAAAACTGCAGGAGGGGAAGGTCCTGCGTTGGCATGGCGCCCAACTTCAAAGTCACAAAGTCAATTCATGGCTCCTGCAGCCGACGCACATAAATAAGCCCGAACAAAGTTGGCCCAGTAAAAGGCTTTGACGGATGGGCGGCTGACAAAAGTGGCTTTCGGGTGGCAAAGTCCGCTAGTTGATTGCGCATTAATTTGTGAGCCACTCTCTATGGCTCTGAAATCCCTTAACCATTACCTCAAGTCTCACTGAGTTATTATTTGCTTAAAGTTTTCCCCGCCCAACAAAGAAGAGCACAAACGCAGAGACTTCAAGATTTCTCTGTCTTTGTAAAGAGAGAAAGTTTGAAAAGTAATAACAATGGCCAACTGACTGAAAGTTTATTACAATGATGATGTTGATGGCTGGAATGCATTAAATTAAATACAAACGAAAAGAAAGCAATTCGAAACTACAACTAGCTTTGTTTTTGTCTGCCTTATTTACATGCAGTTTTCAGTTTGTTTTCCCGGCTCTTGTCAACATCATCCAGCAAAACGAAAATAGATGAGAGTGTTCTCAAATTCGGATTTTCTATTTCGTAAATCGAACGAGGTTTCAATTGGGCAATAATGGGAAATTAAAACCAACTGCTAAATGCTAAATATTTTCTTTATCTGTAAGGAAAACATTGGTAGGTGCTTGAGAGCTTGTTTAATTTATATTTGTTCTCAAAGGACTTTATTTTTATAGATAGATCCACGTTTATCTGACGTTTTATTAGAGAGAAACAAATATCATTGCCTCTTTAATACACATACTGTACAAGTATACACAATAAAAGGCAAAATTTAAAAATACTAATTCTGCAAGTAGAACTGAATTTGAATCAAACAAAATGTTTACTCGAGCCAAGTTCAAGTTCAAGATCACAAGCCATCGCGCCCCATAAAGTATGCAACATAAATTACCAAGACCCGAAATCCGAAATCCGCTCCCAGAACGTATCCTTTCGTTCGTTGGTTGCTCTCTTAATGCGATTGCATTTAAATTTATAGCGCCCGGCAACAAAAGTGCAGCATATTCCTGCATTTTTTTGGCTTCTTTTTTTGGCACTGCAATCAGAAGTGTTTGAGTGCCGGAAACAACTCGTTTTTCTTGACGGCAGCAGGGAGCAACACGTCGCTGTTTCGCTGCCTATCTGCGCCGTTTGCTGATATTATTATGGCTTTGTTGCTGTTGCCGCTGCTGTCGTGTTGCACTGGTTGTTGCTGTTGCAAATTGCATGCATTTGCACTTGATAAGCAAACACGAAGGAAGGGCTGGCAAGAAAAATCAACACGGGCCCGGGAAATATGCATGTTCTTGTTACCGGTAGATTTCCATTTTAGATGGCAAAGTCGTCGCCGTGGCGTTGTTTATATTTATGATTGGGGCGGGGGGCGTGGCCCGCTCTTGCGAGGGATGACGAGTTGCAGTGCAATCTGCGCCTTACGCAAACCAATCGAATGCCACTTAATTGGCTTTTTATGCGACGCCCAGCTGCTACATTTACTGATTCATTCACTGAGTTTCGATCAAGCCGTGGCACAGAAATTGCAAATGCAATTTGAAGTTGCAAGGACATTGTCATACCATTTTTATGGCTCTCTATTAAACTAAAAAGTCAACAGCAATAAAACTATAAGAGAACTTACTGAAGAATATGTATTTTTATCAGGAAACCTCTAACAATCAAATGCACAAGGAAAAATTATGCACTCAAAAAAATCTTCATATGAAAAGATGATCAATTTGATATTATGTAATATCAATTTCAACTGGATAAGCGGCATATCAATTCAATATGCTCGAAATGTGAACAGCTTAACTTTAAAAAATTGTGTAAAAATAACTTAAGCCTTTATACAAACGAAATACATAAAAGTAAAATACAACCTCAGTTTTAAAAATAAATGTAATGACAGCGAGGTAAATATATAAAGTTTTATAATTTTAACAAGGATTGTGTCACAGGATGAGCCTCTAAAATCATTTTATTTAAAATTTGGATATGTTCCTCTTATTGATAACTATTTTTCTCCCTAAGTGTGTTTTCATGGCTTTGACGTTCAGCACTTGCCGTTTGATGTCGTTGTTGTTGCTCTCGAACACACTCCTGCAGTTTTCACATACATCTTGAGCCAGGACAAAACAAGTTGTTGATCACATAAAGCTGACTTCAGTCGAGAACAGAGCTCGGAAAACAGAGAGCTGAGCTAAGAGCCTCGACCCGAAGCGAAACTGAACGGGCGTCACTTCTTGTTTTTGTGCCGGGTTCAAAGGTAACGCAAATGGGTACGACATGCAACCCGGGGTCGGGGAATGGGGGCGTGGCTGGGGGTTTTGGGTCGAAGGTGGCCAAGACTGCCGCCAACAACTAAAACAAAACATTGACATAAATACGTGAGTGCTGCTGTGGCTGCGGTTACAGCCAAAGTTTGTGTTTCCTTGGTTTTTTTTTGGCCAGTGAAATGCCCTTGGAAAGTAGGTATTACAAATTGCTGATGAAGTCTGCCGGGAATATATGGCTGAGTGGGTGTGCTGGATTGGAGTAAAGTTTTTTTTGGTTCGGTCATAAAATTTACTAAAGTGGTTTTGGGTTAAACAATGATGGTCGCAACTTTAAGGAATACCTATTGCTTAAGACTTTTAAAAAAAATTATTCGCATAAATAAATTAACTACCTACAATAATTCAAGAACATACATTTTGTAATTGAGATCTTATAAAAATTTTGAATTAGGTTTTAAAAGATGTTTTAAAATTAAATTATAGCTAACAAAATTACAAATTAAATTAAAGCTTTTAGAGTGAAATAAATATGTTTATAGTCATGAAATGTTTATATGAATTATTTTTACGGTTCCTTGAGGACTAAAGTGCCCATTAATAATTTAAGAGCATTCCCTGTTCCTTAAATAAACTCGATAATTTTTCGCCTTTTACATTTCCCATTTTCCTTTCTGCTAACGACGTTAGTTTGTTCACTTTTTCCACCTTGTTTTTGCTTATTAGTACATAGTTTTCATTTTTATGCGACTGCTGCACGAGCTTTTTTATACTCCTCGTAATACATTTTTTTTTGAAGGTTGCTTGCCGACTGGCTTTGTTTTTTCAACTGGGCTTGTACTTGGGCCATAAATTTTTAAAACTTGAACGCGAATGTGTGCCATGGTGTGCATTGTTGATGTTCTTGCCGCACTTGCAGGCCTGAAAATGCAAAGCTGGAAATTCGCTGTGAAACATTTTCCCGCTGGTTTATGATGTTTTTTGTTGCTGTTGATATGTTAATCGCGCTGTGCATGCAATTTTAGTATTATTTGGCCATTTGTTTAATTTTAACGCCACCTCGGCAGTATTTTTTGTCACATGGTATGCATTTAACATTAAATTTAATAGGCCCAGCCGAGGGGCATTTAATTTTAATTACAAGGCGGTTACAAAAAACGGTAACCTATGCCGCAAAATATGTATTATGTAAATTAGTGGAGGGGGGGAAGTACTATTACACACATGCTCTCCGCCCTTCCAAATACAATCAAAGGTATGCTCATATAAATGCCTCGAATTTTATTGTTTTACGTGCGCCAAGGTCCTTCCTAAGCTGCACGAGTGTGAGTGTGGGACCTCATAAATGGTGTAAGACGGCCATAAACGCCTCTCCTTTGCCATGTGTGTGAGTACCTTTGTCATAAAATGTGCGTAAAACTTCCTTGTGGCATTTATTGATAAAACGTTTGGGCAATGAATTCCTATTTGAGAAGAAGGCTTAAAGCCAAAGAGAACAAATGTTATCAGCCGGCAGGTGAGGGCATAAACTGGAAAATTGCATGCATACCAGACATGTCATCCCGGCGCATTATTTATTCGATAATGATTACATAGATGGCGGGGTGAAATTCTTATCGAGTTTAAGAAGTTGGGTTGAGGTGCTAGACCAAAACGAAAAAAAAACACGGGGTAGGTTGATTCCCTGAAAGACGATGGATAAATTAGAATTAATATCTTAAAATATTTGAAAATAATATCTGGTTGAATTTAAATCAATATTTATTATTAATTTATGTTATTCATACTTACTTTAAATAATTTTAAATAAAAAATTAAAATAGAGGCAAAGCAAAGCGAATCTAGAATAAAATATTTCAATTTAATTTAATCAATTTTGAGCAAATTGTACTGTTTTCCTGATAAAGTTTTAGGTATAAACTAGTTTTTAGTATAAACTTTAAATTTAACTTATCTTTTAACCCTAAAAGATAACGGACCTTTTAAATATATAAGCTGGTTTTTATTGTTAATCAACTTGTTTTACAAAAAGCATTTACTTAAGCTTAAACTAAGACATTAACTTCTTATGAATCTTCGTTAAAACCTTTCTTTAGCTTTTAAGGCAAACAAAAAAAAAGCCATGAGAATAAAGTATTTTATGATTATGGTAAAACTTTCAATTTATTCTGATTTAGGTTCTTAAATATACCCTAATTTATTTAAAAATTTCGGAGCGAATTAAAACTCTCTTGCAGCCCGGTAATGAAGCACTAAAAATGCAAGAAAACTTTTTTAACTTTGGTTTGACTCAGCGAAGATGGCGCTTCTTTCGCCCCCCAAAAATTTCACAACCATGAGGTGGAATGGGTCCAGATACATTATCTCCAGCTAACATCTTGTGAGCGTTATCGTCGAATGTCAATGGCAGTTATCTGTCGATAGATACAATTGCTCTCAGAAACTGATATAAAAGCGCTGTTCAGCGAAAATTTCCCAATAGCAACGCGTAGCCCACATCGAATTGGGCCAAAATGGATTTTACCCTGCTGACGATTGCCCTCGTGCTCTCACCTGTACTTCTATTTGCACCTGTCCGCTGTCAGGTGGCCTCCTGCAATGCGGGGAGCGGTGCTGTCCGCCAGAAACGCATCGTTTTCCGCAGCCCGGGAACAGGTGAGATGGCCAAGTTGGACACTTGCCAGTACCGCGTGGCGCCATGGAGCGTACAGGTGTGTCAGGTGCGCTTGGACTTCGAGCGTTTGGAGCTGCCGCAGCCGCAGTTGAATGCCAGTTCCGGACTGCTGGAGTGCGTTGATTTTCTGCAGATTCAGCATTTCCGGCTCTGCGGTCGCAGCAGCGGTCAGCACTTGTATTTACCGAATGGCCGGGGTCAGGAGCTGCAGCTTTTGTTCCGGCTGGCCACGCCCCTCGGCAAGCAGTCCAGCTGGCAGGTGACTCTCACCCAGCTGGAGTGCCCCAGGGACTCTGGTGCATCAAACACAAGGCAACCCGAGGTTCAGACACCAACTGTGCGGCCGTTGCTCCCATTTTTGGGCAACTTCCTGCCGCGCACCATTTTCGGCGGACAAAGTGGAATCGGTTCGGGTTCCGGTCCTGCTGCCCAGCTCATCCAGACCTTAACCTCGCCCTCATTGACTGATCTGGAGATGCTGGCGCCGCTGGGCTGCGATCAGTACTTCAGGACCGCGACTGGCGGCATCGTGAGCTTCAATTTCGCTGGTGGCATCTATATGCCCAACATGAAATATTCGATTTGCGTCAAGGGAGCGGCAGATAGCGAGATAAGGTGAGTGAGTCAGCCCAGCAAAGGCATTGCAAATATTTATTTGAGAGGCTTGGAATTTATAATTAGTTATGAAAAAAAAATGTGTTCAACATTTACCGTAATTAGTTCAAATTGGAAAAGAAATGATTTATTTACTTTGGTTTTCCCATTGAACATTAAAATAAACAAGCTTGTTTATTATGCATCCACAGAAAAAAAATTCGATATAAAATTGGGTAACTTCTACCATATTTCATATCAATAGAAAGCCGACATGATTAATGTCAAATTTAAGATTCAAACATAACATCCTGATATTTTAGCACATCTTAAAAGTTATTAAGATACTGTTTAAAAATACCAAATGTAGTATTTTTTAACAAATATTGTAAAACATAATCTCTATTCATATGAAAATTATATGAATAATATAATCTTTAAAATATATCAAACTAAACTTAGCTTGTGCCCAATTTTTTCTGTGTAACTTTTCGTAATTAAAAAATTATAAAAAAGAATAAATTAAGTATCAAATGTAAATTATACAAAAATATACAAAATTATATTTGTTATCACATCAACTACTATTTAACTTGCGGTAATTATTAAATATTAATAATGTTGATTTATTTTTTCCCAAACACAATCAGCTACAAGATCGAGCACTTTGAGCTCTCAAAGGCGAACGCCGAGCAGCAAGGACCTGCCTACGACACCGATTGCCGCAGCACAGTGTTGACCCCGTTGCGTGCATCCGACTATCTGAGCATTCCCAATGCCTACATGGTCGGCAGGCCGGAGCTGCAGGCCACTTATTACTGTGGCAATGGATTGGGCGGCCAGGAACTGGTGGCCCGACCACCGTTCGTCCTGCGATTCGCCAGTGATTCGCAGTCCAGTGGCTCCGAAACGGGCTTCCAGCTGACCTACACGGTCCGCCGGTCACAGGATACTCCTCCTCCGTTGACCACAGAACTGTAAATTGGCATAAATAAAGCCGCAGTCTTAACTAAATCAACGCACACAAGTCAGCTGGAATTGACATTATTAAATGCTGCAGTGATACTCGCACTGTGAACCAGGACATTCCATGCCCACGGATTTGCCTTAATTAAATGCCCGGCTCCGGCATTAAGTCACATGTATCCGTATCTCAGTATATGCAAATAAATTATGGAAAGCCCAGTGGCATAAATGGCATGTGGTTGACAATTATGGCCAAATGCGTAGGGGAAACGGGTTCAATGGAATGTGGATAGAATTTCATAGTTGATTATTTTGCAGAACAATGTGGAGCTTTTAGCTTCGAGTAAGAAAATAATGTGGAATAGATATTGGCCTGGCATGAGTTTGTGGAGGCACTTAGTTCAGAAATTTAATGGGACGAATTTATCGTACTGGTATTTATAACGGAATTCTCATATCACTTCACAGTTTTGCCAGTATTTTATCTGATAGATACATTCCATGAGGCTTGAAAGGAATTTCATTGGTTTATTAATTACAGAATTGGTTATCTTGGATACTTAAATAAATAGGTATGTAAAAACTATAATTATAATAATTATTATAAGAAGAGAAAAACTTAAAGTTATTCTTTATTTAATTCATGAATTTAATGTTTGTGAATTTATCGTACTGGTATCTGAGACTAATAGATACATTCCATGAAGCTTGAAAGGAATTTCATTGGTTTCTTAATTACGGAATAGGTTATCTTGGATATTCAAATAAATAGGTGTGTAAAAACTATAAATATAATAATTATTATAAGAAGAGAAAAACTTAAAGTTCTTCTTTACTGTAGCAGCTACTTCCCCAAGGTATTTCGCAACATTTTGGGCATCACTCTTGGGAACTTTAAATAAAATAGACCCGACAGCCACGCCCACGTGGATATTTACATATATAATTGCAAACTGGTGTAACTTGTTTGGATATTCCGTTGGAGGGACAGCCCCTCGCCCACTCAACCCCCAGAAACTTTTCACACATGGCTGCAGGAGCGGATGCGAAAGCTTTTCAGGGGGATGAGGGTGGGGATGCAGTGACATTTTGATGCCGACACAGCTGCCACAATTGCCAGCCCATGTATTTTTAATGAAAATTTAACAAAATTTCTGCGGTTTAAGTGCGAAAATTGCTGAAAGCGAGCAGCGCAGGTGGCTGATCGATATACATGTTCGGCGGAAGCGAACGCGGAAGTGCGAATTTTTGTGCGATTCAGTTGATGGAGCACATATGCAAGCTGCTGCAAAATGTCGAGCAAATAAGGCCTTAGGCCAAACGGATATGGAAAGGGATAAATTCAGCATTAAAGGGGACATTGTTAAGTGCCTGGTAAACAGAATGAAATTGCATTTGCATCGATGACCCGAACACTGGGGATAGTCATATGCTCCGACACGATGCCAAACAATGTGAGCCAGCTCGTTTTGTCCAACATCGACTGCCTTCCCTCTCGAATTTATGTAGTCTGTTTTTTTCTGGCCAACACTTCTGCCCGTTTAACGTTTCTATCCTGGGGCAAATTGTTTTTGCAAAAGATGCTCCGGCATCTTGGACTTTCTTTGGGCCATCCTTCGCCTTTGGCTTTCTGCCAGCCAGAAAAAGGGACTTAAAGTCTTGTCCTTAGCCCAAACTGGAAAACCAGCTGGAAATGGAGCTTGCATTACATATTGCATTCGGCCTTAATGGTCACTTCATAAATGCAGGCAATTAGAACGCTCGGCACACACTGCGTATGCGTGCTAAAAATTTGGCAGCTGCTAAAAGCCATGATTGTTGGCCAGGCGCAGTTTTAATTGCGGAATTTCGAGAAGCCAGTGAATAACTGAGATGTTTAATTAGTTTTTGGCTTCCAACTAAGTATACGCATATTTCATTACACGCTGCTTTTCAATTAACCCTCTTCAGATATCAATTCACTAGCAAAATATTAATTTTACAACTATACCAGCGAGTATTTATTTTCTATTCTCAGTTTTTCCAACTGAAAACTGTAAATTGTTTGGCGGCCACTCTAGCCATAACCAGTTTTATGAGAGGAGAAACGCGAACAATTCTGGCAGGTTTTTTAAATTGAATTTTTAAATTTTTTCCCCTACACGTATTCACTGATTTTTTCTCTGTTGTTTTGGAGTTAGCGCGAAATGGTCTCTGTTTATTTAAGCATTTTTTCGCTGCAGATTTCCCCGCTGAAGCTGTCAACTTTGTAACATCTGACCTAACGCCAGAGGACCAATGCAATTTGGCGGCTAACAAAATATAAAAACAGACCCAGATCCATTGCAGATGGCATAGAAAATTGTAACACAATTTCCCAAAAAAAATGCCAGATGCGGTTTCAACATTGTAGTTAAAATGTCACAAATTATTAATTGCAAACGGATTTATTTAGCGGTGAGTTGCTGGCTAAATTTAACATAAATGTTTTGCCATGCGTTCATAAACTACTTTGAGCCCTTGCATTCCGAAAAATTGTAGGAATATTTTATAAAGTTATTTTTAGAGCAATAAGCAATTAATAATTTAAGAAGTTGGGTGCTGATTCCGCATGTAAAAATAAAAAAAATGACCCCATTTAATGTCGGCCTTATCGCGGCTTGAAGTACAAGGATTTTCACAAACTTAAATGCCAATTAAATAACATTAAATTGTGCGAAGAATGAACCCCACAAAAAAAGTCCTTGAGCCGAGAGAGACTGTCAACATGACAAAGGAAAAAATTAAGCAGCTAAACAGGGTTTTATGGACGGCCGGCAGAAATAAACAAACAAGTCGGGGGCCAATGGAACCTCCGGAAAATCTGTAAGCCAAGGCAACATGACACTGGGCCAACTCACACTCAAAAACACACTCGGACTTGGCCAACATACAAAGGCGCTGGACCAGGCCCAAGCCAAAGCCAACAACATAATCTACGGGTTGTCAGCAGCCCAAAAGCCCATAAAGGCAAGGCAAACGAGCTGAAGGTCGATGGGCGGAAGGGGAAAACCCAGCCAAAGTGGGTGGCCCGGGAAAAGCAAACAAATTAGTATGCACGTCAGGCAGCAGATTAGGACACCGAAGTTTTCGCGACATAAACGGACAGCAGGCCACAATGGGAACACAAGGACCTTCCCTCACCCATCCGGGCATTCAGGCTCTTTTTTCTCGGTTTTTCGGATTTAGCCAAAATAATGAAGTCGGTCACTGACGCGATCTGTTGCTTGTTATGGCAAGAGAAAAAACCGCACAGGCATAACAAAATGTTATAGCAAAAGCAGGTGAGTATTTGGTTTCAGTTGGTTGCTTCCCATGAATTTTTCACTGAATTTGTTGTTATCATTTTTGCAAAATTGTTAACTATTAAAACCATTTTAAATTTCTTAGAATAATTTTCTTTTATTAATCAAAGTAAAAAAAAACTAAATACCACTCTTTTCTATGGCCTATTATTCTATTACCCTAGTCACAAAAGTAATATACCTGAAACCCGCTTATTATTGGGTATCATAAGCATTAAAAAAAGTATTAAAATGTCAGCCTGTCTGCGTACCTTGACAACCAATTTTTCTAAAATTAAACGTCCTTGTTGCTGGTCACCTTTTTTCTTTAGCTGACAGACTGCTGCTTTTAATTTTATTTCTGCCTTTTTTGTCGTTTTTGGGGCGTCGCTTAAATATTTCATTAAAAATTCCACGCACAATTGCACATAGCTGTGGTTACTTGGAAATGAAAAAAAAAAGCCCAAAAGGAATAAATCCTTAGTCAACCCTTGAAAAGTCACAATTTACTTGTAAAACTAAATTAAAAACGATTTACTTTCAGAAACTGGCTATTATCAAGCGTTCAATGTCAAAAGAAAATGTGTAACAGAAAAATAAATGAAGCTTTATTGGCGAAGTCTTTTAAATTTTCGTAAATAAATAATAAAGTTCAGAGCTAGGCTGTAAATCAAGTGCTGACCAACAATTTAAAAAGAAAATGCAAAAATGCAATAAAGTGGTAAATGTATAAGCCGAACACAAAAATGATAAACTAAGCTTGCTGTAAAATAAGTTTTAACAAATATGTTGGAATCCTTTTATTAACATGCCGTTAGCAATTTGTCAAGATTAAATTTGAAAACAAAAATATGCAGGAATTTATGCTTGACTCATGTTGAAATAAAGAAAGTATTTTGTGCCAACAAAATTGTTATAAAGGTAGTGTTGAATTTCAGCCGTTTAACATATAAATCGTAATATAAGTACAAAGTAATTAACCTATGCGCTAGTTTTTCAACGGTGTTTTAAATAAACTCTTTAATAATCTACGTTCTCTTGTTTAGCTACTTATTGATTTTTAGTCTTTTGTATAAAATATTTGTATTTATTTATGGCAATTCTTTAACCACGTATCTTATTACTCCAGCTTGCTCACCCCAACAAAGATTTTGTTAAAGTTACGACCGACACATACTGGCAGTCATATAATTTTCATATTTTCATACATTGTTTAACTTGTTCCTTCGTCCTTTTCGTGGGCCACAAACAATGTGTGTGCAAAACGTAAGTTTGCGTGCTTGGTGCATATAAATTAGTCGCTTATAATATTCTTTTGGCATTTTTCAAATTTCCAGTTTGGTATTTGCCGGCTCTGCCTGGTGAAAGAGTTCGTACGCCATAAAGTATACACCTTACGTGCTCAAGGATTTCTCCCTCCTTCCTTCTTAGCATAGCATGAACGAACAGCAAAAAACAATTATTAACATATTAATAAATTTTAGCATATTTGAAAGGCCATAATTTAGTGTAATTCTAGATGCCTGCAGCTGGGCAACACCTGAGCGAAATTGGATAATCTAGCCGAGCACGTAATTTGCATTTTTTATGGCCCGTCTTTAAAGACCCCTGACTGATTATAGCCTTAAACAATGCCCAAAAATTTCACCAGTGATTAGCCGGATTATTGCTTTGTTAGCGCTAGCAGTCTTATCAGTTTCAAGTGCATTTGACTTGTTTGTCAACCACGTCGTCTTTATGACAGCCCTCGGGCTTTTGGTCATTGTACCACTTGTGATTCTTTGTGAGAAATAGGCCCATTGCGATAACCGATAGTCCTAGGATAAGTAATCCGATTCCCGTATACACTCCAATAATCGCAGCATTTAAGGCAAGCTGTGGAAGAAGTCATTGAATTTAGTTATTCTCTTATTTAGTAACAATTAGGTTAACTTTACCTTTAGTAACCTTGTGAGGCTTTCGTCTAATTCCGCATGGATTCTCATGGTAAAAAGAGGTGCATAGTGATCATAGGCCACATCCTTGAACAAGCTAAAGAAAGTTTTAAGTGCTTTGATTAGCTTTAAGTGAATTTACTTGAAATTATAATTTATAAGTTCAAGCTGGATACTTTAGTTCATTTTTATATTTCATCCATTTTAAAAGTTTAATTCGATTTCGGTAAAAACCTTTAAAAAAACTCACTCAATTGCCTCATCGCGCACCACTCTCGTGCTAATCATGAGCTGGCCCCTCAGACTCATTGGAATGCCGAGAGTAGGTTCCATTATCACAAACATTCCGTGTTCGGATTCCTCTGGCCGCAGACCCGTGGTGTTTTCCCTGTACAGTTCGTCAGTGAGGTAAAAGTGCGGATGCGACATGTAGAACGGGCCATTGAAGGCCGGCGGTCCATAATCCAGGACTCCGTTGCGCGGACACTCGCGATTCTCGAGGCAAAAACACTTAGTGTCCGGCGACAACTGGCCGTTGTCGAGGGTATGATTGGTGGACTCATAGCGCCAAACGTCTATGCCATCGATGGTCAGGTTTTCCTTGGGGAATAGGTTCAAGTAACGCGCTGCATCGGATAGGAAAATGGAGGTGGGCTGGTTCCACTGCCTGTCCGGTGACCAGAGTTCGCCCGTACTGCCATTGACCCTGCCACATTCGCCGGGATAATAGCTGGTCGTGTTCGCTCCGTTCCACAGCAGGAGATCCCCCATCTGGCCGAGATCTCCATGGCCAGTGTGGACTGTAAAGTTTCCCTCGGCCGTCTTCGAGTTGTTTCGCTCGTAAAACCAGCCAAAGGTGTTGCTGTAAACTGGCAGCAAGGGCGAGTGCAGCTGCTCCACGAAATCCAGCAGATAGTCGTAGTAGCCATCGAAGAGCCACTGACCAGCTGTGTGGGTCATGTGGGTGGCGCCGCCTTCGCGATTGAGGGCAAAGTTCATGACCTTGCGCAGGATGCGGCGTAATCGGCGTGAATAGAAGGCAGCTGTCTAAATCAGACAGCGGGATTAGCGGGGATTACTTGATGTGGGGACAGACATTCGCACAGAGACTCGGTACTCGCAATATAGACTTGCTAATATACTGGATTTAAGTATATTCGGCTTCTTCAAAATCAAAATATTAAAAAATGTAACTTTAAATCATTTTTAAAAAACTATAAGTAAATTTTCCGTTTTAATAAAAATTTATTTAGTTTGAAAACATCCGCGTTTCATTTTACAAACAAATTTAGACAATGACACTTTTTTTTAAATATTTAGAAAAACTAAAAAAATATTAAGGAGTGAATCAGAACATGTGAGTAACTTTTAAAGTATTTTTCAGTGCTCGCATAACACAACCAATAACTTGAAATAAAACTTACCAGAGTAGGAAAATGTGGGGCCACAACCACATCCTCCAGCGAGCCGTTTGACTTTTCGGGGAGAAAGTGCCAGGTGCGCTTGCCAAAATAAGTCACCTCGGGCTGATTCCACTCCAAGTCTTCCTTAACCTTGAAGTCGCTGAAAGTGTACGGCCCCAGCTGCTCAAAGTTGGGCTTCACGCCCTCGGTGTTCAAATCCTCCGGATTAGTCCAGTTGAAGAGGTAAATTGTGCTATATAGCGGCATTGGCGTCGTCACCCAGCGTTTGTAGATAAAGGAGTTGGGGGCCAAGGGCAAGAGACTACGAATCCATTGCCGAGATACAGCTGGCCAAGCTGAGGCCAGAAAAATCCCGATGGCCAGGATCAGGCCACCCAGGGTGAAGACCCAGATCTTTTGCTGGCGCACACTACAACAGCTACAACACATTGCCTCCGATCGATTTTTGCAACTGGTAGGCCTGCCACTTTAACTTGTGTTATTTATAGGCGAGCCCACTTTTGGGATTCATTGATGTTCCCATCATTGAGATTAGATTTAAAAGCGGGAACTCTCGAATTAACGGCTGATTCTTCTATTTTTAACGTTGTTTTGAATTCTTAACTTGGAACACTTATGATACACTCATAAAAATTAATTTCTAAATTTTGGAAATCTCGCCATTGAATCGGCCTACCTTTGAAAATAGAAAAAAAATTTCTTGTTATTAGAAAATTGGCCTTTGAATACAGAAAACCTTTCTTGATGGAAAAAATTCAAGAAAGAATTTTTCTTAAAAATAGAAAAATGAAAATCTCATATGTCTGTTTTGCCGTCGCAGCCAAAACATTTTTGTACGTATTTTAGGACAAAATCACCTTTGAATATATGAATGAAATGACCGTAGAATATAGGAAAGTAGCCATTGACTTCCTTCGGCTGCCGAATGTTAACGACAAGAAAAACGAAGTGGGACGAAGGGCCTACCCGGCTACCGACTTCTCTGATCCCCCGAGCGTCAGTTGTGAAAAAAATTCGTGAGTGATGGACGTGATTTTCAAGCGGATAAGAGGTTAAGCCTTTTTCCAAATATTCAAAGGTATGTAAATATATAATTTTTTGTATAGCGGGCGTACAATTGTATGTATGTAATTAAAGGATAAATTTCAAATCTCTTTACCAAGCGTGTACCAATTTAGTTGAATGGTTTTTTAGCTAAGAGCTACGTACATACATACATTTGTATATAAATCTGTGGGTGTAGAGTTCTATAATAACTTTATCTTATTACTCGCATTTTATTTATTTTTCAGAGTGAAAATACCTGCAGTTGCATCAGCCAAATAATTTGTTTAGCGAAGCTGTAATTTTGTTTTAAAACATTCTAAGGTAAGAAAAATATGTTGTATTTGTTTGACATACTTATGTATGCATGTAAATATCTATGCATGTACGCGGCTCACCCGATCTGAAACCCGATTTTCAACCCTTTCATATTCTGCTCCTCTCTCTCGCTCGCTTGACCTACGCGTCGCGACGTTTCTCTCTTCACCTTCTTAAAACTGACACGATCTGCCCTGCTTACATTCGGTCTCCCTTCGCGCAAAGGACTGTATGTAAATATATATGTATGTATGTACGTGTCTCTCCCGTGCCTCTCTCTCTCTGAAATTCGATTTTCAACCCTTCCTTCTTCATTTTCTACCTGTCTTGCTCCTCTCTCGGTCGTCTGACCAACGTGTTTGTATTTTGGCTATTATTAACATTACATTATTATCTATTATCTAAAAACATCTATTCTTATCTAAAAACAAATCATTGATATCCCAATAACTCTTTTTTTCCAGATGAGGAAAGCCGAAGAAAATAATTTTTTATGCCTGCAACTACATATTTGGTTATAATAATGTTTTCTTAAGTCAAAAATGTGTTATTTAAAATTGTTTAAATGTTCAGTGTTAAATGTTTTAAATTTAAATAAATAAAATATGCAAAAGAAAAAACCAAGTTACATTTTATTTTTAGGGTTTCAGTGTTAATATAAAACTTCCCTTCAAGAAATATTATTTCTTAAATCAAGAAATAAAATTTCTTGAAAGGAAATTTAAACAAGAAAGAATTTTTCTTGTTCAAAAGGTGCCTTTCTAAAAAACCCTTTCTTGTTTCAAGAAATTAAATTTCTTGAAACAAGAAACAAACCACCTTTAAAACAAGAATCGCCTTTCTTGTTTTAAGAAATATTTTTTCTTGTTTTTATGGTGGCTTTCTAAAAAACCCTTTCTTGTTTTAAGAAATTTAATTTCTTAAAACAAGAAATATTTTTTCTGGTTTTAATGGTGCCTTTCAAAAAAACCATTTCTTGAAACAAAGGTGAGGTCGCCTTTGGCAAAAATTCAAGAAAGAATTTTCTAGATTTTAAGGAAATTCTTCGATTTTTTTTTATGAGTGTAGGCTAATCAACAAAAGCTTGCTGCAATACTTGGTCAAGCACGAATTCTCTTCAGGCTCATTTATGGGCTGATTAAAAAATTATTGGGGCTTTTAGATAAGAGTAAAGTTAATCAAAATTATTTTGCATTCTACTTAAGGGGTACATTGTAAAAAAAAGTATACAATATAAGTATACAAGCTAGAGAGTTCAGGTTTAAAATGCTGCGGCATTCTCTCTTGTTTAAAGCTCAAAATTTTAAATTTCCAATTTTATCGAATTTCTTTTTGAGTCAAAATCTGCCAAGTGGGCCACCCCTGTTCCGAAGGTCCGATTTTCATCGAACTTTTTTACTTTTCCGGTTCACAACGAAAATATAAGAACTTCATTTGAACGGTTTTGCGAAATTTTGAGTTTTACCGGAGTTATAGGGGTCAAAACATGGCATTTTTGACACTTTTTCGAAAAAAGTTGCTCTCAGTCATTTTTCATAACTTCCGAACGGTTAGAGATATCTTTATGATGTTTTCACTAATCGCTCAAGAATTATTATGGCTTTCCATAAAAAAATGTAAAAAAAAATTAAAAATTTTTTTTCTTAAAAATAAATTAACATTTTTTTTTAGTTTTTATTTTTTTAGTGTTCTTCACCAGCTATAGAGTTTAAAACCATTTGAAAATGAAGTTTGATTCATTACGAAAAAGATCAAAAAAAAAAAAAAGAGTGGCCCGGCCAAAGGTTTTTCGCAATATCGATTTGAAGAAGGGCGCACAGCGGTTTCCCATACAAAACGGCAAAAAGTCCCACATTGACAGCTGACGCTACGCTCGCTACGGCATGTGTTGACCAGCCAGTTTTCACGAGCAAGCCGTTTTTGTATGGGAAACCGCTGTGCGCCCTTCTTCAAATTGATATTGCGAAAAACCTTTGGCCGGGCCACTCTTTTTTTTTTTTGATCTTTTCGTAATGAATCAAACTTCATTTTCAAATGGTTTTAAACACTATAGCTGGTGAAGAACACTGAAAAAAATAAAAACTAAAAAAAATTATGATTTATTTTTAAGAAAAAAATTTTTAATTTTTTTTTACATTTTTTTATGGAAAGCCATAATAATTCTTGAGCGATTAGTGAAAACATCATAAAGATATCTCTAACCGTTCCGAAGTTATGATTTAATGACTGAGTGCAACTTTTTCGAAAAAGTGACAAAAATGCCATGTTTTGACCCCTATAACTCCGGTAAAACTCAAAATTTCGCAAAACCGTTCAAATGAAGTTCTTATATTTTCGTTGTAAACCGGAAAAGTAAAAAAGTTCGATGAAAATCGGACCTTCGGAACAGGGGTGGCCCACTTGGCAGATTTTGACTCTTTTATGTTCCGACTTCCGGAAAATTGAGCCAATTTTCGTTTCATTGATCATAGATCAGAGCTTCACTTTGCCATACAGATCAATATGGATAAGTAATGCCAGCGCTAGAGCTCGAAAAAAGTGAGTCTTGGCCAACTGTAAATCATCTGTACTTATGGTAAAAACTCAACAAATTGAAAGTTTACATTCCAGGAAATAAAACAAGGTTATGACCAAAATTCATGGAAAATTTGATTTATGGGCAATTTTTAAAGTTCGAGTTTTGTAATTTTTTCTCCAGCTTAGCTCTTATAGTTTCCGATGTCACAGCGTTAGATTAAAAAATCTTGAACACAAAAATGTTTAACAGAGTGACGGGTATCAGATCATAGATGCACAATATTGAAACGTTCTTGGTTTTTTTTTTTATTTTATTTATATTGTGCTTTCTCGGCAATTACTAAATATCTCTTACCCATTGCCGTGGCTTTAGTAACTTGGCAGATTATTTTTATGCATTTAAAGAACTTAGCATTAATTTAATCGATCCATTTTAATAAAGTAAAAGCTTCAATGTTACATAGAAAAATTGTTAAAAGTAAACTTAAACATAAAGCTTACCATAAGAAAAAAAAGGTCTACTGTAAATTATCACATCTAGTTTTTTTTGGAAAATCACATTCATGTGCTTGGCTTTATGCAAAATGTTAATACTAAATTACAAATTTCGGTCGACATCGTTGGCCTCTGTTCCTGGTTCATTTGGGGTTTCCTCGTTATCCTTGAGAGCTAGTCTGTCCGATTCAGATTGGCCATACCACTTCCTCTTAATGGTTAGAAGGACACCAACAGCTATAAGAATGCAACCCAGACACAGAAGTCCCACTCCAGTATATCTTCCAATCGCAGGCAGATTGAGCGCCAACTGTAATGATAATTATTAGCTAATTAATGTACATAATAGTTTTTTTTGACACTTACCCTAAGTTCTGAGGCCAGGGCTTCATCGATTTCAGCTCGACTGGCGGTGGTGAAAAGAGGTGCGTAGAAACTGGGAAGGTCCTTGAGTATGCTATTGGTGAATGATAAAAGATTTTGTTAAATTATTCAAAAATGTTTAATATTATTACTTACTCAATAACGGGATCTGGCTCTATGTACAAAGTGATCATCACGTTGGCATTGACCTTCAGCGGCACTCCCATCTTGCGCTCCATGATGATATAGAAGTTGTTCTGATCATAGTTGGGACTATAGCCGTTGATCGTGTTGCCATAGCTCTCATCCGCGTACATAAAATGATCGGCGGACAGGTACATCGGAACTCCCTCGGCACAAGGCGATAAATCTGTAGCGCCGCTGGCTGGACAGTTGTCCGGCTGCCTTTCCAAAGGACACCAGCATTTCGTGTTCCCATTGATCTGGCCATTGTCGAAAGTGCTCGGTGTTATTTCGTACTTCCATCCGGTAATGCCCTGGATCGTTTCGCTCTCGCCGGTAAATTCCAGATTTATAATTCGACAAGTGTCCGGAATAAAGATGGTCAAGGCCTTCTCCTTGGGCTCGTCTGGCACGAAGAGATCGGTGGTGCTGCCATTGAGCCGTCCACACTCACCCTCGTACCATCCCGTGTGGTTTTGGCCCTTCCAATACTTAATTTCACCCATCTCCTTAATGTCACCCACTCCTGTGTGAACGGTGAAGGGTCCTTCGAAGTCCTTGGATCCGTTGCGATGGAGGAACCAGGCAAAGTGATCATCCTCGATTGCCGGGGCCAAGGGATTGTTCAGGGTCATGGCGTAGTGAAGGAACTCATCGTAGAAGCTGTCGAAGAGCCATTCGGCTGCAGTGTATGTCACGAAAAGATGTCCTCCATTCGCATTCAGAGCCTGGTTGAACATGAACTTTAAAAAGGCGTTGCTATTACGCATTTGGTTGGAGGCAGCCTATAAAAATGAAAGGTTTCTCGTTAGGATTTTCAAAAACTATCAAATCATATAAATATTATTTTTGGAAAAATATGTTAGTCACCAGCGACGGTAAATGTGGGGCAGTAATAAGATCCGTTTGCTTGCCACCCGACAGCTCTTCCTCCCAGAACCAAGTTCTCCTGGGGCTGAAGGTCACCGTTCCGTTATCGTGCCACTCCAGATCCATTTTCTTTCTCTCCTCCCGATAAACATACGGACCCAGTTGTTCGAAAGTGGGTTTCACTCCATAGGCCTGGACATCTGCGGCATTTGTCCAGTTCCAAAGATACATGTAGACATACACGGGAATGGGCAGCACCTCCCATTTTTCAAAGGTCTTCGAAGTGGGCGTCAGTGGCAGGGCCTTTTTAATAAATCGTTCAGTACTCCTCATTTAATTTATCTATACACCCTTAGTCCTCAATCACCTTCATAATCTGCGTGTCTATAAAGCCGGGCCAGCATATTATGGCCAAGAGTCCGGAAACCGCGAAAAGGGTTCCTAGTCCAAAGACCCAGACCTTTTGTTGGGTCACTCCACAGCAGCTGCAACACATGTTGAGGCGAGACAAAGGCTTCCAAGCGACTGCCCAGCGGAAAAATAGCACTACTCGTTTTATTCATGCACCACTTAGTAGATTATCCACTAGTAAATAGCGCAGCGGCTAATCAGCATGTCTACTGTACTAATTTGCTTGGGCTTTTGTTTGCTCAACTGATAAGGTGGGGTGATCGGGACTTAAGTGTATGTATTGAGCGCCCAAAGACCTTGATTAATGCACCGAATTTCTTGTGGGTGTTCCTTTATCAGCCAGACTAACGGTAGTAGCTGCTTAAAACCGCCGAACGTTAACTACCAAAACCACTTGGTAACCAATATCAGATCGTAGGTGTACGAAATTATCAGACCCATGGAATGACTATTAAGGGGCACTAGCACCTAAGCACTAGTATACACTAAAATATTTTTTATTTAATTTAATTTTTAATTTCATATAAAAAGCAATCTGTAGAGTACTTTCTGCTTCGCATAATAAAAGTAGGTAACCAAAACTAAAGTTGATTAAACTATAAATGCGGTCAACTATTTCTGCCTTGAGTGTCGCCATCTTATCGGTTATATAGGCGCTATGCGTATTTGGAATGCAATTTTATTGTCATGCATTGTAAATGACCACTTTTGAAGACGATAATCTAATCGGGATTAATGAAATTCGATTAAAGCTGTTATGCGAAATCATGTTGACTAATCTTCCACCTGGTTTGCCAAAATGTTGGTTTGTTGCCCCAACGTGATTAGCTACTTTTTGAACTGTGTTTTCACCACAAATTGTGACCAAACTGTCAGAAAATTAATAACAGCCAGACGCTTTATCGTAAATATTTCTAACCAATTAAAAGTGCCACAAACCATTTGGCTGTAAGCATTCCCAACTTAAATTGTCGCAGTTTTAAAACAAAACAAACAATTAGTTTAAGTTTTAAGTTACTTTAAATACTTTCAATATTCACCTTACATTTAATGTGTTATATCAATTTATCCCTTTATTCTCGTCTTAGTGCAGTAAATTTCCTGCAGCATCTTTGTCCTGAATTAATTAGGCTGCTCCTCAGCTTCTTAGAGTAGCAATAATTGGAATTACTTAGCCACAAATGCAAGACCCACTATTAGCAATTGAATAGAATGCATTGGCTTCTGTTGATTTCCCCATTGCACTCCAATAAATACATAATCAGCAAACGTTTCTAGATATCAAATTCCTACTGAGGAAACGCCTTGTGATAGTGCATTATGAAGTGTTTGGCATGTGTGCGCTCTATTCAACAGATTGAATGTTATTTAGACTATTTCTCGTTCTAAATTCGACCGCATCGTGGAAGACTTATTAATATTTCTTCCAATGTTTTTGGTGTGTTTTTTTTCCTCAGTTCCTTTCAAATTTAATATTCCCATAAAGATACATAAACTCTGTTCATATTTAATTGTTGGTTGAGTTATAAATATAATACACATACACACATATATGAATATTGGATTTGCTATATAGGAAAAGTACGACGACTGCAGTTCAGAACATTTCAGCAACATCAGCATTTTTTAAGATCCACAAACATCGGGTAGACTTTTAGAAATACGCCATTTTTTGTCTTTGGTTGAGGTAGCCACTTCTGTTTAGGCCTCGATGGAGCCCTCCGCTTCCAGTTGGGCCTTGCGGCTTGGCTGCAATTAAGTGATTGATTGTTAACTATTTTAATAATATTTGGCAATTTTTCCTTTTACCTTCGGGTGCATCAGGATAAACGGAAGCTCAGCGCAGAGCTCACCGCCCAAGGCGCCCAGGAAGAGCTTGACCTTCACAGCATACGAGACAATTATGCCAAAAGCATCCCTGGCATCCTGACTTGCAATCCTAAAACGAAAAATATATTTTATATAATTTATAATTTTTATAAATTTAGTAAGGGAAATTATAATATGTAATGGCTATCCTATAACCTATATGTTTTACTATTCAATTAAGAAAAAATGATTAAATAAAAGGAATCCTTTTTTAATGAATAAAGAGAAAATACATTTTCACCTGTATTAAAATTTTCCGAAGTGTTCATTAGGAATTTTGCATAATTGACACATTAAAAATTGTAGATAAGAAATCCAAATAGTTTTCAATTTTAAAATATGATTTTCTCAAATCTAAAGATTTAAAACCTTTTTTTTTAGAATGAAAATAACTCTATTAAAAAACTTAATTTTTGAATTCAATAATTCTGAATCCTTTTTGTTGTACTTACAGTGTAGTGGAGGCCAGGGCCGTCTCCTTGCGCTTAATATCACCCTCGACGGCGATGCCCGCACGGTCGCAATTGGCCACCAGGGTGGGCACCAGGTACATGACCTTCTGCAGACTGGATCCCGGGTTCAGGGGACAGCCCTCGCTCGTCTCCATGAAGGCGATCGTGTTGCGGAACTGGCCGTTCTGGAAGAGCACCACATCGACGCCCTGCTGCACCATGGCCTTGACCTTCTTGACCACCTTGTTGGAGTTGTTGCGCACGCAGATGTTCACCGAGATCTTCTCGCCGTGGTGGTACAGCTGCTTGTCGAGGGTGACCTCCAGTTCGAGCTCCCCGGGCGACAGGAGGAAGTCCTTGCGGACGACGGTGCAGGGCTGGATTCCCTGCTTGGTGGGTGCGTACTGCACCTTGCGGATGCCCAGGTTGATGGTGCTCCTGCGATGCGAGCGATCGCAGTCGCTGTCGCCGGTGAAGATCTTCACGAAGTACTGCACACCGCAGGGCTGGCTCTCGTCGCTGGCCTTCTGCTGGAGGACCACCGAGGCCGGCGAACTGGGCGGCATTTGCATCACGAAGGGATAGGCATTCGAACCCAGCTTCTTCAGCAGGCGCTCCTGCATTTTGGTCAGCTGGATGTCCTGCTTCTGGGGTGGGCACACCTGCTGCGAGACCAGTGTCAGCTCCTTCTGGAACCTCAGGCCGATCATCTCGTCATCCTCGCGTCCGTAGCGGAAATTGCAGACCAACTGCACGAAGATCTTGCGGTTCTGGCGCACGTACTCATCGTCCAGCACCACGATTCCATCTGCAAAGGCATTCTAATTAATCGGAGATTATCGAAACAATGGCCCAGCCATGTGGTTTGCCTGGTCACGTAACTAATAAGCTTGAGTTTTAAATATTTAATTCTCATAATTCAAGTACAAAAAGGTAAATGTTTTTTACACGGCGTAATATATTTTGTAGGTTATGTTGTTGTTATTTAAATATGTACGTAGACTACCGAATTATTAATTTATAATGTTGATTTTATGCAGATTTAATCTTTTGAGTCCTTTACTTTTGCTATACCTACCAATGGGCTCCACTTGAGTAACGGAATCCACAAAGTCACGCCTGTTCATGTAGAGCGTGATCATGTTGTTCGGGGAACACTTCTTAAACACCTTGAAGTTGACCACCATTTTGAAGCCGTTAATTCGAAAGATCTGCCGGAAGTAAGGGAAATAATTTAAGAGACTTTCACGTTTCGCGCTCGTGTGTTTCGGGATACGCCGCGTTGCGTGGTTCGCTTGGCTATTAATTAGCGCTCATTGGCAATCCGGAATTTATACCTCGCATAGTGGCACCTGATGCCCCTGTAAATTCAATTAGCGGCGCAGCAGAAATTCAGCAGTTCTCCGGCGGGACACTAATACGGCTTCCGCAACCTTGCTGCGCAGTGTCTTTGATATTGACATTGCAGCCGCCGAGCGAAATCGGTAGCTTGAACATTAAATAATGCGAGCACAACACGGCGTATTAGCAATGCAGGGCACAGAAATCCAGAAATAGCCAACGAAATCGATACAGTCTGCGTATTTTGGTTTGTCGTCTTTCTCCAAGTATGACGTATTCATACACAAATATTACGTGCTGCCCGATTTTCCTTCCCTGTTTACGTAATTCTTTTTAATTTAATTGAGGCTTTAACTGTCCTCTGCTAAGTACTGATAAGCAGGTCGTTTTCGTGGTAGTTCAATAATTGAGGCCCTGCAAAAATATTTCATATAAGTGGTACCTCTTAATAACTATCAGTAGTTTAATTATTAAATTTAATACTTGTGGTTTATGGCATGATTGCTCGCTGCAATACATACATAATTTAATTAATATAATGGACATGGAATCGACCAAAGGAGGTATTATTTTTTGTAGATTAATTTTTAGATTTAATTACTTTACCAACAGAAAAATAAATAAATTCACATTTATTGACAGATAAACATTACGATTTAAATAAAAGAAAATGTTGACAATTTAATGTAAAAATTGCTAAAGTTGCAGTTCCATCCCCCAAGTGTAGAAATTGTCAGTAAATAATGGGACATAAGCACTTAAACTTCACCAGCAACTGTCACTTAAGGAACCTGCACATTCAATTATGTAAAAATATTCCCTGCAAAGCCCCTGCCACCATCACCATTTGGCCGTTTCCATTTTATGCAATGAAATCACATTAGCATAAAGTAGGCTACTTAACAAAGTCAATGAACGTAATTATTATACTCCTGACATTAAAAATATGAACAAAGTTGTGTGAAATATATTGTTCTTTATTGTGTGGTTGGGGTCGGGACGGCGGGCAAAATGTGGTGGGGTTTGCCCCATCCCCATTCGTACATATTCGTGTGTGGAAAAGTGGGGGAAAGTGGCGGCGGACAGTCGCCAAGGGTCCAACAAAACCGACAATGAGGCCCTTAATAATAGCAAAACTTTTGCACTCACGACGTGTGGGCCAGCAGGAAAATGGCGCTGGTTATGGGCTTGTCTCTCATTTAAATACATTACAAGTGAACTTTCCAAGAGGCGTGGCAACGGACTCTTCCTGGGGAGTTGGCAATATGTTGTAAAATGCGTCGCGTTTAAGATTCTGTTAAGATGTAGTGTAAGGGGCAATTTAAAAGCCTTGAAGCCTTAAAATCCCAATCTGTTACTTTTTAAATTTAAAATGTAACATTTAATTTAACAAATATACGAAAAGCTAAGAAAAATGTTAATTAGGGGAGAGTGGGGGAATTTCGTC